TGCTGGATTGTTAAGACCAAGATAAAGCAAGACCTATATAACAAGAAATGTATCTTTTGTATCTGACAAGGTCAGTTAAGTCCCCTCAGGATTTACCCTGAAATCCTGTACCACAGTTTGCAGATCCTTTGTCAGCGTCAGTCATGTGGCTGAGTCACAGCCATTGCTTGACCAATGTGCTCTCTGTGAAAGCCTGAGAGAATGTTTTCTCTCCACATGACCCTCCTTAGGCACACTCTACACCATCGATCACATTGCTCTGTGGCCCCATAATCTCCCTGATCAGAAAATTTGGGACCCAACTGAGTTACATAATGTTACAGTATAAGTTCTCCTATGTCCTGAGTCTTCACTATTTGGGCTATTTTTATTAACTTTTAAAAAGTTAATTAAGTTTATTTCTACCTTTTAGATATATAATAATCACATTCATCATAGGGAATTTGTACTTGTGCAGCATTCAGGTTTAATTGTTGGCATTTTGTGATAAATAAGTGGGTTTTGAGTTGCAGTTTGGGCACTTAATCTCTAAAAGATTTATCCCCACTGTTATAGATATTTAAGAGGTATAATTCTATTGTGAATTAGGAATACTTGTACTGCAAAGCCAACTCTGCTACCTTAATGTGTGGAAGGATAGAGAAGCTCATTCTGTTACCAAGGTAGAAATGCTGAGGAACTTAAGCACCAACAGGACTTCTCTCTTTCCTTCTCTCTGCCAGAAGCCTCATTTTCTACCTTGATTTCACAGCAAAGAATCTTTTTTAATGTCCAGTACATAGGCATGAAGCCTGCTATCCTCAACATCTCATGTAGAATAATTGTTTTTTTCCTCCCTCTTTTTGGCTTTCTTACAAATTATGCTAGAATTCCTTGACATGGGTTTTGTTTTTCCATTCCACCTTCTATATAAAACATAGGACACTTTTTCTTCAGTCATGGGTCAACAGGAGGGGCATTCTTGGAGAAGTGAACCTAAGAAAGCCAAACTATAGACCTCATTTTCTCCGGTGGGAGGTGGCAGGGCATCTTCCCTGGCACTGTTGGGGTCATTTGTGTGTTTCATTCTAAACACACCTCTATTTCATACTGAACATGTGGTCAGAACACTGGAAGTAGACATGACCTCTGTCTTGCTTGCATTTCTGGGCATGCCCCAAGATCAGTGCATCTTAGTAAATCATTTGCTTTGAGCCTCTGCTTCATCTCTTGAAATAATAGAACCAGCATTCTGGAGAAATTTTAGTGTTCTTTAAAATAGGCTCAGGAGCCTAAGATAATATAAGCACTGACTCAGTCACAATTTTTTGGTCAAAAACCTTACCCCCAAGACACAGAAATTTTCCTGAGAAGTTAGAAACATTGTCAGACCCCAGTTTGTTCAAATCCTACTAGAACAATTAGAATTCTTGACCATCAGGAAGAGTCTTTGTCATAGAGTCTTTTGTTTTATGCAAGCCAAAAATTAAAACTGCTTAAAAGTTTTAAAAATGATGCTTTAAAAATATGATGATGACTTATCTTTAAAACATACCTCAGGATGTTAGCATCCAGAAAACCTTTGAAGATACAGTCCAGTGGTGCTGCAGATTCCAAGCTCACTTCTGCTTTCCAAACCAAGCACTTCTAATAAATCTTCCTCATGTGTGTGTCCCTTTAGGGCCAAGAGACAAGAAGCTCCGGGTGGTGAATGAACAGCCAGTGAGATACTTGCATTATTTTGGTAGAAAACTTCAGAAGTGGCACTGCAACCAGGAAATGCTCCTGCTGAGACCTCAGCCCTGGAAGGAACTATGAGGCCTTTGAAGATCAGACCAGTTTCGCAGCCTCTTGTGAATTCAGCCACGAAGAATGGATCTGAGGACCCTGAGGAGGCCTGGATAGACAGGTTCAGAAAGCTGGAAAAGGCCCTGTATTTGTATGATCTGAGCAACACAGGTGAAGTATGAACTCCAGAGTTGATGTGCCTTTCTACTGATGTTTTAACCCAAATGTGGATAATTTGTTTTCTTTCATTTCTTGAACAAATAATAAAATTTATATGAACCATGTGTCTGACACTAATCTGCATGGAATCAGGAAATACAAAGATGAATCATGTTGCTTATAATTTCTTCCTCCTCTTATTATTCCTACACTGCTATCAAATAGCAATTCAATCTTATAAAATACTACACGGGCTTTCTGCTGATGAGGTGCAGACTCCGTAGCGAGGAAATGTCCAGTCTCTGACCACCGACCACTCTCTCTTGCTGTTATTGTTCTCTTCGCATAGCCCGCTTTTTCCCGAGGATCTCTGCCTTTCCTAACTCTGTGCCTTTCATCTGAGCTGTCTCATTCTACTAGTTCTATATCAACCCCCAATTCGTCAATGTGGTTAATTAATGCCTAAACATCTATGTTGAAATTTAAGCATTCCTCTGAGAGTCTCTAGACAGCTTTAGGCCAGCCCTTTTTCGGACTTCTCAGGATCTTGAAACATCCATTAGCATATGTACTACATTGTACTTTTTATTTGAAGGCCTACTGCTGTCTCACCAATAGAGCCGGTTGCTTTTCATCCCAGGTACCTACAAAATTCTGTTCATTATTTTGAGAAAAAACTGAAGGCATGTGTATAAATAACTAAATTTAAGAATTGAAAGGAATAAATGCCACAAACAGTGTGCTATGTGGGCATTTGAAAAAAAGAGACTCTCTTCATAGGGTGGACCAGAAAAGTTCTGTTAAGGTTAACTTGATCTTTAAAGATCGAGGCAATTTGAATACAAAATAATGGAATTAAGAAGTCTCTCTGGCAAAAGTGCAAGGTTAGCTAAGAGAAGCTCAAAGGAGAGGTTCCATTAAGACCTAGGGCCAT